GCGATGTGAGTGCCCCAAGACAGGTCCTCCGCCAAGGTCACCCCTAGAAATTTAAAAGTACTGACCCTCTCCACCACCTCTGAACTGATGGAGAGGGGTTCGTGCTTTTTAGGCTGTTTTTTCCTAAAGTCCACAATCATTTCCTTGGTCTTTTTGGTGTTAAGAGCAAGGTTGTTGCTGTCACACCATGATGCCAGATGTTGCACCTCTGCCCTGTAGTCCCTCTCATCGTTGTTGGTGATGAGGCCCAGGTCAGCAAATTTGACGATCAGGTTGGAGGGAGAAGGGAGAGAGAGAGAGAGAGAGGGAGGGAGGGAGGGAGCCTTGCCAGATGCCATCGCTGCAGACAGTTCATCAAAGGTTATATCCATACCCAGAGTCTCCCGATTTCCTGGACTCAGCTGAGGAAGTCCCTGATGAAGCCCCTCAGCAGCAGCCACATCACAGCCGCCGGCCCTGAACAAGTCCGTATAAAAGTCGACTGCATGCCTCCTCATCTCTGCCGGGTCTGCGGTTGCCTTCCCATCAGGGAGGCGGAGACACGCCATCTGTTTTTTTTACGCTACCGACTTCTCCAAGTTAAAAAAGAAGGTGGTTGGTGCATCAATGTCCTGTAGCCTGGTGAAGCGTGCTCGGACAAGAGCCCCTTTGGCTCTCTCCTGAAGGAAAGAGTTCAGCTCCTGTTTTTTTTTTTCTTAGTAAATCACTTTGCAGATCTCCCTGTAGGGCATTTTCCAGGTCTCTTATTTGGCCCTCTAGCTCCTGCACTGTTTTCTTTATGCCCGTTGTGACCCTTGTTGTGTAATCCTGGCAAAACACCCTAGTCTGGGCTTTCCCTACCTCCCACCACTGAGTCAATGGGGGAGAGGGAGGGTACACCCTGGACAGTCCATCGCAGGGCCACACACAATGACAAACAGCCACGCACACTCACAATCACTCCTAAGGTCCATTTAGAATGTCCAATCAACCTAACATGCAGGTTTTTGGACTGTGGGAGGAAACCGGAGAGAACCCACATAGACACAGGGAGAACAGACAAATGGGGAGAGGCGGGGTCGCCCTGGACGGCAGCATCACAAACATCATTGATTAATTCATTCAGTGCTTCAGACACCAAAGCCAGAGTCTCATTATAACCACGCTGTACGTTTTACATTTATTGTCCACTTTATGGCACAATAGAGCAAATGAAGCACCATGAAACTTCAACTGGTGAGTGAACCAATTGGATAGATCGCTTCAATGCTTTGTGAAGCTTCATTTTGCCATAACTGCTATTTGGAAAATGCCACATTTTTAGCAACTATGTGGTTTGTCGAAATTGTTGTTTTTCATGTCTTCCATGGAGCTCTGGTGCTAGCTGAATGTTGCTGTGCCACATCCCAAGGCCATCCCTATTGAAACGGTTATGTTATGTTATTGGACTCAATACCGCCTGTTCAGTCTTCCTGTTTACTCTGAATTAAGTTTGTTTTATGTTGCTTGATGTCCAACTCGGTTGTTGATGCCTGATGTTGTCCAAATATGAATGTTTTCATAAACTAATGTCCTGTTTTAGTGAGCTGCAGCCCAGCGGGCCACAGTCTGACTGAGCTCGTTAGCCTGAAATGAGGAACACCTGTCTCCACTTAGTCCCTGAGGACAGCAAAGCAGAAAGTGTTTCAGAGCTGTGGAGGACCTACTGTTCTGTCTCTGTCTG